GAGCGCCCACTCCCCTCTGCGCCCTCCCCGCTGCCCAGCTGGGGCCCAGCCGTGGCGTGGGGCAGTGAGCGGCGTAAGGGGTGAAGCCGCCTCTGATCTCTCTTTGTGTCTTTCTGCTGCAGGAATCTCATGGAGTGTTCTCAGGAACTACTCCTCTGCCAGTGCCAAGGAGAAGGCGAGGAGAAACGGCGTCTGCGAGAGGACGGAGCTGCTGGAAGGTGAATCGGGGAGGGCTGGGAGAGCTGCAGGGTTTCCCCTGATCAGTGTCCTGAGACGTTTTCTCAGGGTCTTCCCATTCTGTGTAGCCAAGAAGAAGATATTTGGGACTGTAAATATTTGTAGCCTGGGCAAGGATGAGGGGCTTCCCGTGGACTTGCTGGCCTCCCTAAGCAAGTTCTGTCCTGTCCTAAGGACCTGGAGGCCCACCCTACCTCCAGGGAGCTCTGAGTTGCTCTGCAAGGCAGAGCGGTCCTAAGGGAGGGTAGAAGAGTCCCTCCAGGGCATGTGAGGGACTTGTAGACTGACCTGAAACGTGCTTTGGCTTTGGGCTGTCTGCCCGGGTGAGCTGAGGGCATGAGGTCCTTGGAGAGAGGCCCAGTGAAGTGACCAGCCAGCAGGTTAGACAAGCGTGAGCTGGTGGTTTTTCTCTTGCAGTGACATTGTTGGGTTCCCCGGCAGGCAGGGGTGGGCCACAGCGTAGAGGTGGATCCCAGAAAGGCAGTGGTCAAAGCAGCTGATTGCTGGGAGGAGGGTTGGCCAAGGGGGGAAGAAGTCCTTGTGTGGACCCTCTTTTCCTGTTACTGGGCGCTCCCAGAGGCGAGGCCCTGGGGTAGGACACAACCTTCTGCTGCATTTTCCATCCCTTCACCTCTCCCCGGCTGTGTCTTTCCCGGCAGTGCTGAAGGCTCGAGTGAAGCAGCTCCAAGCCAGTAACATCCCGGAGGTGACGGTCAACAAAGCAGAGCTGGCCCCACTAAGGAATGACAAGTACCAGGACCCGCTGCAGAAAGTGGTGGCTCCCCACCCCGTGGAGGAGCAGCCTGCTCCCAGGGGAAGGGGTGAGAGCCCGGCCCGGCCCAGCAGCTGGGTTGAGAAGTTGAAGAAGGAGATGTACATCCGGCAGCTGAAGGTGGAGCGGAAATTATCCATTGCTGCCTCCCGGCTGGCTCTGGAGGGCCAGGTCAAGGCCAAACCAAAGGGCAAGGCAAAGGCCAAAGCTAAAGCCAACAAGACCCTGAAGACCCCAAAGGCTAAAGTGGTTGCTGCCTGGAGCCAGAGCCGCACTGGCTCCCACCGTGTCTATGCCTACAGCAAGCCCAGGGTAGCAGCAGTGAAGGAGGGTCCAAACGTGCAGAAGCCTCGGAGGGTGCTGGAGGACAAGGACAGCAGCCAGTACAAGATCCTGCAGCAGACCATCCAGTCCAACCTCGAATGCTTCCTCTTCTTGCAGCAGCCAGAGGAGGCCGAGAGGTTCCTTCTCCTGTACCACAGCTCCCCTGTGAAGAGAAGGCTTTTGAATGTCAATGCCTACAACATCGTGATGCGTAGCTGGGCAAGAAAGGTACTGAGCTGCGGGCTGCTGCCCTGCTCTGCCTGTCAGGTTTTCTGGGTGGCCGAGGGGAAGAGGGGGGCTGGCTCAGGAGGAAGATCCTCATGCTTGTAGAAGCAGTGGTCACGGTTTTATCTGTTTGTCATACCTGCCTTCAGCAAGTGTTCAGGGAGGGCTTGGCTTCTGCTGAGAGGGATGGAGCTGATAGACGGCCGCTGAATCAGGCCACTGATCCCTGTGAGGTGGCTTTGAGGGGAAGAAGGGGATGGGGCAGGATAGACGTGGCTAAAGTTGAAAAGGAGCAGAGGGGCACGAAGCTGTGATTTGGGGCGGCTGGTGTCTGTGTCCGCAGCCCCCTTCCCTTCTCATCCGCAGGGCTGCTTGCAGCGCATCAACCGGCTGTTTTCCATGCTGGAGTCCGTCGGCCTCCAGCCCAGCCTGGACTCCTACGCGGCAATGCTGGAGTGCATGGGCCGGAACCAGCCGTCCGCCAAAGCCATCCAGAGGTAATGCACTTCACCTGCCGCAGGGGCCCTGGGACAGCATCTCCGCAGCCCGCCGCTTCACTGCACCGGGAGAACTGGGAGCTCGCTCTGGAGAGGAGATGCGCTGGCTCAGGGTCGGGAAGACCTGCCCCCACTGTATGCGCATCTAGATGCTCTGACCCACTTCTCATGGCCAGATTTAGGGGCAGGCAGAGCTCCCGCAGTGGGCCCTCCTTTCCACCCCCAGCTGCTGGGAGTTTGTCTGAGATCTTGCAGGGAAAGGAGATGTAGGAGGTGAGAACAACCTTGCTTCTGGCCAGAGCTGTGTCTGCCCCCCGAGAGCTCACAGAGCAGCTCCCTGGGCTGGGAGCGGCCTCTCTTCAGTCAGGTACTCCTTGGTTCTGCGCCCATCCTGGGCATCTCTCTCCCACTGGCCCCTCCATCACTGCCCGGTAGGAACGGCTCCTCCGTTCGTTTTTACAGCACCTGCATGGAGTTTGCCCTTCCTGGTAGGCTCAGCCAAACAGCTGGTGTTTGCAGGGTGCCGGCTCACTGGAAGAGTGTGATCAGGAGATTCAGATGGATTTTGTGGAGTGTAATGGGCAAAATAAATGTCAGACCCAAAGCTGAAGGAGCAATGTGAGTTCCCGGCAGGCTGGGTCTCGGGGCAGTGCCTGGGTCTGGTAGGGCAGCCTTGCCAGAGGATGGAGAAAGCTTTCTGGTGATCTGCTAATGCTGCACAAACACCCTGGGGTGGTTCAGGGATTTATCTGTGGCCTGGGTGTCCCTTGGCTGGCTAACAAGTTCTAGATGCCTCTGAGTGAATGTCTGCCAGTCAGCTGATTTGGAAGTGACTGGCATTGGCTTTCCTGCCGGGGTGTGTGGGT